ATTGTTCTGAATTAGCTCCCCGGTCCCTGCAGCAGCCCAGACTCGACCTCAGAGTCACCGTTGCCTCCTCCCCTGTCCTGTTCTTGCAGTCAGTTGCCAAGTGTTGTCAGGTCCCTGGATCCAGTCCTCACCACCCCTCCTCCACCCTGGCCTCCTCCCTTACCATTGGCCGGGGGTGGGGACACTTTTTCCTGCTAAGGGCCATTTGGGTATTTATAAGATCATTCTCAGGCCATACAAAAGTATCAACTTGAAATTAGCCCGCTGTATCTGGTCAGGCTGATTTGGTGAGGCAGGTGATGTTAGCTGGTACTGGTTTCGAGGGCCGTGTATGGCCCGCGGGCCGGACGGTCCCCACCCCTGGAGCCCAGCCACTTCCAGGTCAGCTCTGCCCCTCCCCCAGCCTACGCACTGTGACCCGGCTGATCTCTGACAGGCAGCGCAGGTGCTCTCATTCCCAGATGTGGACACTGTCCACGAGTCTAGATCAGTGACAAGCAGAGGCTTCTCTTGTCCCCTCTTTCCCCACAGGAAGGCTCGGTCGGCATGAAGGGAGGGTGGTCGCTGCTCCCAGCCACCCTCCATCCTTCCTGGTGCCCCCTGCGCTGCCCAGCTGCTCACTCGCCTCCCCTCTCGGCTTCTGAGAACTCTTCTCCTCCTTAGAGGCTCACTGCCGAAGCACTGAGAATGTCCTGATGGGAGCTTTGGCTCCCCCCTTCTCCGCCTGAGCACAGGGCTTTCAGGCCAATCACAGCACCCGCCCGACCCTGTCCTGGTAACAGATTGCAAGAGCCGGGAGGGCAAGCCTGTGCCTTGTGGATCTCCTGTGGCCCCACAGCCCATGGCCCACTGACCAGCTGCTTCGCAGGTGTGCTTTTGTTTTTTGTTTTTCCTTTATTGGAGAGAGAGGAAGGAGAGGGAGAGAGAGTGATAGAAACATCGATGAGAGAGAACATCGACTGGCCGCCTCCTGCATGCCCCCCACTGGGGATCAGGGCCACAACCTGGGCATGTGCCCTGACCAGGAATCAAACCGGCGACCTCTTGGTGCCTGGGTCGACGCTCAACCACTGAGCCACACCGGCCGGGTGCAGGCATGCTTTTGGAACGTAGTTACTTGATTTGAAAGGAGTCGCAGACATTTTTTTCTCCCTCCTAACCTGTGTCCTTGTTACCCTTCAGAGCTCATCCTGTTTTCCCCTGTATATTCTTCACCTTCCTTTGATTGTGCAGTGATTTTTGTTATTATTTTACCTCTTTGTGGAAGTTTCAGCTGATCGGTTTTAATGAATGTTGTTCAGCCCCGGCCCTCCTGTGGCTTCCTGCCCCAGTTCGAGTCCATTACTCTGACTTACACAGCAGTGGGAAGCAGCAAGACCTTAGCAGGGTAGCTCCTGCACTTCCTGCCAAGTGGATCATGACACTGGGAGGCTGAGGAGGGAGAAGAGGCCTGGTAGGGGGGAATTCCGTTCTTTAATTCTGCAGGTACGTGCATGTTGAAGATTGCAAAAAAAATGAACGTAGTGAAATTTTTTAAAAAATATTTTTCTTTATTGATTTTATACAGAGAGGAATGGAGAGTGAGAGAGAGATAGAAACATTGATGAGAGAGAACATCGATTGGCCGCCTCCTGCATGCTCCCCACTGGGGATTGGACTCATAACCCAGGCATGTACCCTGATCAGGGATCAAACTGGCGACCTCTTGGTGCATGGGTCAGCACTCAGCCACTGATTCACACTGGCCGGGCAGACCCAGTGGGATTTTTGCAGCTGCATTCTGTGAAAGGTGGCGGGTCTGAGAAGATGCCCACCCTTCTTGGGGGCATATGAATGCAGGTACCCTGCCAGGCCTGGACAGGCCTCCCTCATTAGACCAATTTTTTTAGGTGGAAGAGGTTTCAGATGCCTAGAGGGTTGTATGTGAGAGACCTGTGTCCACTGAGAATTGATCATGGAAGGAGAATTACCGAGGCCCCGAGTGCAGGCCACATGGGAATTGGGGGACAAATGAGTGGCTTCCAGGCAGTGGTCTTTTGCATTAGAGCCCTGAGGGCCCTCTCTTCCAGTCCCCCACTAACTTCCTTCCTAAATGCCCAGGCGGGAAAACAGGTTTGACTCTCACACTTTGAAAAGAGATATGAGCCTATGCCAGGACTTACGCTGGGGTCTCCGGTGGAGAAGACGGGGGTGGTATAACGTGGAGGGTAACATCCGCGATCCAAGCTGAGTCCCGGTGCCGGCACACACTAGCTGCGTGGCCTCGATCTGTTGCTTTTAACCTCTTTTTGCCTAAGTTTTCTCGTGGGTAAATGTGGAAGGGGAGAGCCTGTCCATAGTGTTGAGATAAAATCAAACGATAATAAATGTAAAGCCCTGAGCTCAGTGTCTGGCATAAAGCAAGTGTTAAATACATAGTTCCTATTACTTTTCTTATTCCTCTTTTAAATGACTAAGAAAGACCTCCAGAGGTGGACCTAGGTCACCAGCTAGGTCAGAGAGTTGGGGTAATGTTCACTGTCAACGGACCAACATTCCAGAGGGAAGGCCCAGGGGAGGAGAACCACGGGACTAGGGACAGTTCTCGTCCAGTGTTTCTTGACCTTCTTTTTTCAATGGCCACCTCCGCCCCACCCCAGGAGCCCTTTAAGACCTTTGTCTCCCTAGTTGCCCTGCCCCCTTGAAATTGTAATAGCAAAGATATGCTGTATATCTGTGGCCCCAGGAGGGCCACAAACTATTGTAATAGCTAGGATTTGTTTTGTTTTGTTTTGTTTTGGGGGGGGGGTCCCCTAAGAATCACTTTTCACTTCATGGAGGGTGATATTATCGTCACTATTGAGAATGAATATTTCAGTCTGAGACTCTTTGGCCTCCCAGCCCCAGCTATTATAGCAGGAGGGATTTGGAGTGAGCGGGAATAGAGAGAGACCACAGAGGAGATGGACTGACTCCATCAAAGGAGCCATGGGCGTGAGCCTACAGGAGCTGAGGGCTGTTGAGAACAGGACACTGTGGACATCACTCCTCCACAGGGTCGCCAGGAGTCGGAGCCGGCTCAGTGGCATGCAACATGACACAGAGGACCAGTGCATGTGGGTGACAAGTGTGCCTGTCTGAGCCTGGGAGCCACAAAGACCCAGCTCCGTGTGAATTCTAGGAAGACTGGGCCATTCTCTTCCTCCAGCTTCCAATTTTCTGCTTTCACAAACACTAGATGACTATCTGCATGTAAAATAATTTCCTTGCTTTTTTTTTTTATTTATTAAAAAGTAAAGTTATTATATCAAAAAGAACCAGCACATTACAGCATCTTAAAACCTGCTTTAAGTCAATATCTAGATGAGCCAGGAGTGAGGAAGAGAGCCCATCCCTTCTCTGGACCTCTGCCCGGTTTGAGCAGTGTTCTCTTCACAAGTATTCCCTGCTTTGAAAGGCAGGGTGGTAATTCATTGTTGCTTGCATTCACTTTTTTATGGGATCAATGATCTAAAAAGTCTCAGATACCTTTATCTTGCTGAGGGTGAGAGATAAATCAGTTTCCTCTCAGTAGCCCGCTGGCTGCCCCACCCCACTCGGAGGTAGATGAATCTGTTCTTTCCCACTGACTTCTCATGCCTTCCTTATCATCTGGACAGTCTTATCTCGGAATTAGTGACATCTTGATGAAGACATCTGCTTGGATTTTTGAAATGGGTTTTGAATGAAGGCTTTGTAAAGGCACGTGCACTCTGGGGGTGGACCAGTCGGCCTGCACTTTGGCAAACCTGGGCCAAGATGTGGTGAGATCATGGTGGAGACTCCCTCGTGAGCAGTTCTGAGGTTCAGAATGCCACCCTGGATAGTCACTGAGGCTTGGACCATACCTTGAAGATCTGCTTTGGTCGTTCGGTCGGTGTCAGCTCTGGCACGAAAGATCCAACGGATGCTGAACTGAGTCAAGGAAAAACAAGCAAGAGGCAGCCTCTGCTCGTTCCACAAGTACAGACTGAGGGCTCACCGTGGTGCTGAATATGCAACAAGGTTTCAGACTCGGTCCCTGACTTTGCAAGGCGCCTGGTCCAGGTGGGAGATAGACATGCCCACCAATAACCGAGATACAGGGTGGGAAGTTCTATGATAGATGCACCTTAAGTTAGCAGGAGAGACGGAAGAAAGTTTGGCCGACTCTGTGTCGTGAGATGAGGAAGGGTCAAGAAGAAAATGAAAAGAGAATGCAACATTTAAGCTCCATGTTAGAGAACTTGATGGTGCTCATCGTGTGCACCACTGAGCGGGGGCATCCGGATGTGCAGAGGCATGGAGCTCGGAAGGAGCAGGGCATTTGGGGCAGAGGTGGGGAGCAAAAGGGATAGTGGGACCTGAATGCTCTCCTGAGGTGGTTTCCTTATTTGCAAAGATGCACCGATTTATAAAGCATGATCTGACAGGTTCTGGGGAATTAAACTCTGAACTGTCTGGAGAATGGCGTGGCGGTGAGAGCATGAGGGCAGAAGGCAGTTCTACTAATAACATTATAATTATAACTAGGAACATGAACTTTTCGAATCAGTCTCCCATCATAGTCTTCAGAAAGGGAATACCAACTGGATTAGAGCAGCCACAGGTATCTAAGAGGTGAATTCACTAAAACGTGACGACTGAATGTAGGTGTGAGTGGCAAAGATGAAGGAAGAGACAGGGATGGAGCCGCAATCCCTTCATGTGCAGCTGGGTGATCTGAGGTCCAGGAGGTGCAGCAGGGGTAAGGAGGTGCTGGTTGAGCATTTAGATAGAAACTCTGTCAAGTAATTAGCAATATGTGGTATTGGATGTCCTAATAATTGCCAATAATTTCTTGTGTTTCTTTTGATATTTTAACAATGTTGCACAATTTTCAGAAATGCTACTCAATTAGTGAGGTCAGGTCAAGAAGAAAAACATGGAGATGTTTATTTCATGGGGGACAGGAGGTCAATTTCAACTACATTTCTATTCATATTTATATTTTCTCCTTCCAGGGGATGGCCAGGTGGATTTTGATGAATTCATGACAATTCTTGGCCCTAAACTGGTATCTTCCGAAGGCCGTGATGGTTTTCTTGGAAACACAATAGATAGCATATTCTGGCAGGTAAGTAAGAATTTTTTTTTAAAGATTAAGTTTGACAGTGAACATATGTCTTGGACACATTTCTGATTCTGAGATCTTGAGCTTCTATTCATCACATGAGGATCTCTTCTGGGCTGGAGTGACATACATTCCTGTCGTCTAAATCGGGGTCCATACTGTTAGATTGCCGAGGGAGGATCCCATGAGGCCAGCGTGGTGCAGGAACAGAATTTTATTCAGGACATCTGAAAAGCAGACGGGCTGAGTCATCGCCCGCACCGGCCCGGGCTTGCTGTTTACAAGGAGCTCTGGGCGGGCGCTCTCTTGGAGGGCGCGTCGGGGCATGTGCGGGCACAGAGACCGGGCAAACGAGATGGCCTTTGCTGGACGGAAACTGCCCGGGCAGGGTCCTGTCGGGGGGGGGGGGGGGGGGGATGGGCGGTAAATACGAAGGGCCCTATCTGCAGAGGCAGTCCTGGGGCAGGGTGCTCTCTGGCCAAACACATACTAGGTCCTCTGAACAAAGAATCCAAATGACAGTCATTTAAGGCTCAGAGGAGTGAAATACCTGTTTTTTTCCTTATATCAAAAAGAGTTTTACATTTTGGAGAAATGAGAATTCTCCACTTTTGATTCACAAAAGGCTTTTTCCTTGGGACACTTAAAAAGGACAAATCAAGCCCTGGCCAGTTTGGCTCAGCAGTTAGAGCATCGGCCTGCGGTCCAGAGAGACCTGGGTTCGATTCCCGCTAAGGGTGCGTACCTCGGTTGCAGTTTGTCTTTGGCCCCTGTTGGGATCGTGTGGGTGGCAGCCAGTCGATGGGTCTCTCTCTCATTTCCCCTCTCTCCCTCCCACTCTATCTGAAGATAATGCAAAAATGTCCTCGGGTGAGGATTTAAAAAAAAAGGCCAATCAGTATTATCTGAGCCCAGTTCTGATCCTGGTTCCAGGAGACCCTTGCTGAGCGAATGCCATGGTTACCTTGTGTGTTGGGATCCTATCAATACTCTTATCCTTAATAGGACACAATGGTTTTTCCTAAGAACTTGTGTTCGATGCTCCTCAATTAGCTCCTATGTCTATCTCTTAAGGTCTCTTAGGAAATTCCAAATATCTGACTTTGAATTACTAATGTGCTATGAATTATTAATCTTAAAATGTGATTATTATTTTATGATTATGAAATTTGGGGAATAGATTATCAATGATTATATTAAAAATTGGAGTCAAATAATTTGACAAGTTAAATTGACTTATTGGTTAGACGTGGAAAACACCACTGAGGCAGCGTGGTTTCTTCCATGTCTTGACGTGTTCTTTTCCTTAGCCTAAGCTAAAGGGATTGTAGTTGACAGGTACCTTTTGTCTGATTCCGTTTCCCATCTTGCCTATAGCCAACAAGTAAGTTGTAAGAATAGGTCATGTGCCCTGCAGCCTAAAGTCACTGTGGATTTTACAGACGATGGTTAAGAGTTTGACTGTGAAAGCACAATTAAGAAACAGAGAAAAAAGAATTGATTAACTGGTGTTGTGGCCACTGGATTGTGATCTCCTTGAAGCCAAGGACTTGGTGATTGTGGCACCCTTGGCACCTGGCACAGGGCACGCAGTAGGCCCTCAATAGTAAGTTTTTAAAAAATAGAAGGTATAGAAGTTCAAGAAAGGAGGCCAGTGTGGTCTCGATGGGTCAGATGAGGCTTCAGGAAATGGGGACCCTTGTTTGGAACCTTGAACTGTGAGGGGGGTGAAGTGAGCTGGTTAGGATGAGCGTTTGAAAAGGGTGGGGTCCTGAGCATAGTCCATCATTGACCCTGACTAAGGTGCAGGTGAAAGGGAAAGGCCTCAGGACCCCTGGCAGAATGGATTTAGGTCCTGAGGAAGGAGAAGACTTGAGATGACTCCAAGGTTCCCAGCTGGCTTTTATTGCCAGGAATAAGATTATGGAGAGAAAAGTCTTTGTGGAATTCTAAATTGGACATGTCGTGCGTAAGGTGAGACTCGGATAACCAAGAGGAGGAAAGTCTATACACAGCTGATATCAGGGATGGATCACAGGCAGGAGACCAGGGTTGGAAACCCTGGGATTCATCAGAGCTGGTGGGTGAACTCACCAGAGGAAGATGCATGGATGAAGTTGAGCAGAAAGACAGAACCTATTCCTGGAGAACACAGGGGCAGGGGACAGTGACATGGGGACTCTGATCTCCACTCTGCTCAGACACATCAGGCAAACACTGTCTCCTCGAACTGTGGTCATGATCAGCCCTGACAACTCCTAGAGAAGGACTTCCAAGACCTACTCACCACATGATGAGAACATTTCCCAGTAACCCTTCAGGCGTGACTCCATACTTGAAAGGACAGACAGGTAGAGTGCCCTGGCAGAAATAAAAAACAAACACATAGTTCAGAGGGTGGAGAAACACTGCTTCTCACCTGGCCATCTTTCCACCCATACAGATCCACTCTGGGTGAGCATCGGGAGTTCTGTCCCTGGTTCCCCTTCTCTGCTCTCCTTTATCCCCCCTCAGAATGCCTGCTACCCTTCGCCTCTGCCTTCAGGGCCCACCCTAGCCTAGGAGGATGCCGCAAGGCCTCCCAGGCTCTAAGCGTTCTTCTTGGCCCCCATCCTGGAGGGGAAGGAGCTGTGTACTTAGAGCTGCAAGTCTCAGGTCTCCATAGTGGAACATCTACCCAGTGAGCAAATGTTTCTCTTACAATAGCTTGACTGCCTCTACTGTAATTTGGATGGGCCATCATGCTCACAGAGCCTCGGTGTGATGGGTGGGATGGGGAAATGAGAGAAAAGGGAGGAACGCCGTTCTGAACTATGTAAACAAATGCGGGAATGCACGGACTTGCGGCCCTGGCTTTCCTCTCCTGCTCTCGCTCACTCGGCTCAGGATTATAGGACCAGCAAAGGAGAACACGTCAATCAATCCTCAGTCGTCAGCTGTGTCCCCCCTACCCCACCATCTGTCATGCAGAGACAGAGTGAAAAGTGGTACTTAAAACATCCAGAGCATCTGGTTCTTCCTGGAAAAGGGTGCATATTTTCAGCACTTGAATGATTTAGTGATTGTTCAGGTTTAAAAGAAAGTTGTTTGTGTGCATGTGTGTACATGCATATGTACATGTGTGTATATGCACGTGTACGTGTGTGCGTGCATATGTATGTGTGTATATGCATATTTACATGTGTGTATATGCAAGTGTGCGCTTGTGTATGTATGTATGTAGGTGTGTATATGCATATGCACGTGTGTATATATGCATATACACGTGTGTATGTTTGCTTGCCCACAGTGGTGGAGGATGGTATAGAAGAGGAGCAGCAGAAAGACAGCTTACTGCGCTGGACACCCATACATATCAGGAGACGTCACTCTTCTAGAAAGGGAAAGACCATCCATTTAAGACACTGACAAGGCTTCCCAACAGGAACAAAGTCAGTCTCCTACAGAAGTAGACTTAATGGTACACCTGGCAGGGTGCACGGATGATCTGTTGGCTGCATAATACATTACACCAAAAGCTAGTGACATAAAACAACCCTAAATACTTACTGTCACACGTGGTTTCTGTGGGTCGGGAATTTGAAAGCAGCTCAGCTGGGTGGTTCTGGTTCGAGGTCTCTCATGAGGTTGCAGTGGAGATGCTGGCTGGGGCGGGGGGCTGTGCCTCAGGCTCCCTCGCATTGCCGGCAAGGTGATGCTGGCGACGGGCAGGAGACCTCAGGTCCTTGCCACGTGGCTGTCTCCATTGTGCTGCTGGAGTGTCCTCACGACGTGGCAGCTGGCTTCCCTCAAAACAACGGATGCAGGAGAGGATAGGGCAGAAGCCACAGTGTTTTTATGGCCTAGCCTTGGAAGTCAAACTCCATTATTTCTGCACTGGCCCCTTGGTTACGCAGGTCATCCCTAGTCAGGGTGAGAGAGGCCCACTCTGGAGGCAAGGCCCACGAGGGCCCTGCGGAGCTGCGCACCAGCAGGTAAAGTCTCTGCACTTGGGCTTCAGCTCCTGATCTGCCACTGCTGCCCCGGCCTTCCATCTCCCCCAGGCTTTGGTTCCTCCCTGCCTTCGAAGAGACCTGTTCTCTATGTTGTGAGAAGTGATCTTCCCGGGCACTCGGCTCGTCTTGCTAATCAAACCTGTTTCCAGTGCTCCCTCCTTGCTGGCTTTCCGGCCTACAGTGCCAAGGTAAAAATCAAATGGGGTTCTGCACCAACAGCTATTTATCGCTTGGCGCTAGTCCCAAAAGCTCTGCACCTCTGGCTCTCTGCAGGATATTGGTATTGGCAAAGGCAGAGTGTAATTGGCTACAAAAGCAGCCTCATCCCAAAGAGAATGGTCTGAGGGCCATGCCCCAGAGGGTCTCTCCATCTTCCTAGGGTGTGCTGCCCTTGGGTGTAAGGCTCAGATTTCTTGGCTGCCAGTTAGGAACCTAAATGTCCTGAGCCTCTGCTGGCTCACGTGCAAGCTGGTGGTGACTATAGCTAGTTTACCCTGCAGCTATGTGCAATGTCCAAGTCACGGTGAGCTACCTGACGTCAGCATACGTGGTCCACCTTGGGGCCCGTGTGTCCCACTGACTCCTCCAGCAGCAGACCTGCCCAGCATCCTCTCCAGCTGTCCACTCCTCCCCATCTGCTAGGATAATACACAGCAGGTGTAGAGTATTTTGTTCTCCATTCGTCAAATTTCTGTGTGTTTTCTGTAACTGCAGTGATGTATGGGGAGGAAATGGGAAACGAGTCTGCTTGAGGGCTCGGTGCATGTTGATGGTGGAGAGGAGGGAAGGGAGGCTGGGACTCAGGATGGGGCATGGCATTCAGGCTCGGTGCTTCAGGCTGATCGCCACTGCTGAGATGTGGGGTCCTCGACGTCCCTGTTGTCCCACCACTCATTCTCACCTTACACCATATGTCCACTTGTACCCCAGAATTAGAGTCTTTAACACAGCAGATGCCCCCACGTGGCAGAGGAGAGCTCTTCTCCTGTGTCACAAGGTTCATCCAAG